GAGAGGGGGAGAGAGAGAGAGAGAGAGAGAGAGAGAGAGAGAGAGAGAATAAGCATCCATCTAATCCCCAGCTAAGATCAATTTCTGTTGGCTCCCAAGTGCCTTGGACATGTGTCTTCTCCAGGTGTCCACTTCTGAGGTCCCTAGTGCAGCTGCTTCCGCCCATCCACAGTGCTTCTCAGGTCCCCAGCCTGCTAGTGACAGCCTCACTGCTTCTAGCCTCAGCAGACGTCCTGCTCCTTCCTTCTTCACACTGAAGTTTAAAGGAAAGAGAAGCTTTTAAAGTAGTGTAGAAAGGAATTTTTAAGAATGAAAAACTGCTGAATACTATAACATCAACTATAATTACCAACTGCCAGTTGTGCAAAGGAATTTTTATGTTTGTTAAAATTTACTTGGCTTGTCTTATCATCAAACTTTTATTTCTTGGAATCTTTTTAAGCTACTTGGACATGTTGTGAGGCTAAATATTTTATTAAAAATACAATCCATAAGCCTACTTAACTAAATGCACTATGCTGCAGTGCTGTGCATTATATTGACAACTAAGGAGCAAGTAAGATGGTCCTGCCCATCTGTCTACTTTGGAGATTTCCCCATATTCCCTCAGGAAACTTTCTGGACCATATGTGACTCATGCCTGGCTTATAAGGCACTAATGTTAATTCTTAAGAGAATTTTCATGAATATAAATCAAACCCATTTGAATATGGACCAATACTTTGCAGCATTTCTTCAGTTCCTACATAAATCTGAATCTGCATATTCATCTCTGGACTGGATTTCTAGTATCAGCAAATAATCATCCACTATTAAATTGAAAGCCTTTATTTATAATGAGAGCCTCTAATCACTAAAGCATGATTTTATTATTATTTTCCTGATCTCTAGAAAACTAAATACCTCAGAATATACATTTTTAAGTCTTGTTGTATTTCTAGGTCACACATTCTATCAAAAGATGCAGCAATCAACTGGGATATAAATGACCATGTCAGTTGGGTTAGAAAATAATCAACATAAAAGAAAAGAGCAGTTCAAAAAATTAACTTTTAAAACATTGTACAGGCAAAATATATTGCAGATTTAGGCAGAAATTAGAAAACAAAAAGAAATCGAAACAATGATAGTAGTGAAATGAGTATTTATCTTCCAAATTTCCTTGAATCTTTTAATGGTTATTTTAAAGCATTGAATATTTTAATAGTCCTTGGATGTTTCTTGTACCAAATATAAACAGAACTATAGCTTTGATCATTAGAATGCACTTTGGGTTATGTTGTGGCTTGAGTGAAGTTTCTTAAACTCTTAATAAAGCCCCAGACTGATCAGTCAGTAGAATAAAACTGACTTTCTATACAGGGTTTTCTATATCTCAAAGTTAATGAATTGAGATACTAGGTTTATATTTAAGTGGCAGTGCAGAGATATATGTATGTCAAAGCATTTATCACGCATCAATAACAATGTGCCCAAACTGAACACTTTTAAATATGCATATCTACATTCCTAGTGTACTCTGTGGCCATTTATTTGCAATATCACAGCCTACCTGATTGCCTCTTACCTAACCAGTAGTTCAGGACTTGATGTAGAATAACTGAAAAATTTCAAGTTCAGACCACCAACTCTGAAGACTGAATACTACTACATGGTATCTGAAAGAGGAATTAAAAGGGCTCTGAATGAGAATAAGTTTGTGCAAATCTGTTAGAATTTTACTGAGAATAGAATAAGTACCTCATCCTGCTTGGATCAATTTTCCAGATAATCTTGTATGGAGATATTTTTCATCCTTGAAATAAGCAGATTCCATGCCACATTTAGTAATACCAAAAGAAGGCTCTTACAGCCACTATGTAAATGATATCTGGGCTATGAGAAGGAAGAATATTAGATGGATCCACCTACTTTTGATAATAAGCAGACGGGCTACAGTTTCTATATTTAAAATGCTCAAATACAAAACAAACAAACCAACAAAACCTTCCTCCCTTTTCTAGGCAAGTGCAAAATCAAATTTTTGAATTCAGCCAGAAAGGACAGTAAAGTGGAGGCCTGCAGAGATGGGAAGAAGAGACTTTGGTTGCTAAAAAAGATAAGCATTAAAAAGCAGCCATACATACAGGACAACAAAAATGATGACTTGAGGGTATTATACAAACTATCCAGAACCTACCCCTTGCAGGCTCAAATTTGAAAAAGTGAAAGACTTTGAGAAGAGAAGCACAGGGTACCCTACTGGAGAAGGGAAATGGCAGCCTAGGATATTAATTTGCTGGGATTCAAGTCACAGTGCTCAGCCGTCCAGACACTCAGAGACCCCTGTAGCCATGATTGAAGGGGGCCTGCCTACTGCTTTAGCTGGCAGCCAACCTTGGCCTCATCTAACTTTTGCTGGCTTAGCAGCATACAGAATGCAAGAGTTGCAGGGTAAGGAAGGTTTCTACATAGATTTAAAAAGAATGCCTAGGAAGCTAAATAATGTGACCCTGGGAAGGCAAAGTGTGAAGCTGTGAGAGTGAAATCAAAGATGCAGTGGAGATACCAGAATGTTGTAAAAATCAAGACATGGAGTGTCTGAGGAAAGTAACAAGGTGTAAAAAAAGCTAGCCCAAGAGGAAAGCCATGAGATCTGTAACCACTGACAATACCACAGAGGTGGGATTACCCAAGCCCTTGAGTTCACATCTTGCCATCTGTCCATATGGGAGTTTTCTTACAACTTTAAGATGATCACTTCTATGTTGCTATTATTATCTTCTTAAAACAAACAGTGAATGCCTGCCCATCTTTTTCACAGAAAAAAATCTCCAGAAAGTACTTAGTGGTCCAACTGGAAAATGTTCTGACAATGCATTCTTCCTGGTTTTTTCAATTTACAACAGGTGGACAAGCTTTGAAAAATCCAAGGATAGAGAACAGATTGAGTCACTTTTAACAATTTGAATTCTGAATTAATTCCAAAGCACTTAGATTCAAGCTGTTTTTGCCTTTAATACTTCAAATAAAGATTAATTTATTTTCTTGAAACTTGGCCCAAAGTACTGGAAAACTGTATACTTTTCAAAACCATATTCATTATAAAATTAGTGTTTAGACGTTATAATTACATTGATATTTTAATTGGCATTACCATAAATTTGGTAGCAGGGACTCTTTCTTGAAATCATTCTTTCCTATGCTGAAATTCTTAAAAAGAGACAACTCCAATACCTCAGAAATTAAAACACTACTGGAATATTTCATTATATTTATAATGTAATAGGGCTTTGAGAAAAAAGGTTGCAGACTTTCAACTCTGAGTACACCACATATTTTCCAATTTTAGAATTAGGTTTTAGAATTCTATTCTGGAATAGAATCCTCCACCAGTTTGATATGACTACTCTATCAACTGAAACAAAAAGAAACCAAAAGTATATATAGGGCCTAAAAAGATAGCATGTTCTAAATTATAATGCACATAAGTCAAAATAAAAGCTTGACTGACTAGCATGCTACTTATAATTTGATTTCAATATACCTGAAAGGGTCTCTCTTCTTTACAGTGTACATTTAGATGTCTTCAGAATTTGCTTTGGATTTTCATGTTTATGTGCACAGCCAAATTACTCTCTTGACTTAAGTAGGACAATGACTAAGGATAAAGAATACTGATTCTGGACATAAAGGAAGTATTACCAATAATGCCTCAAAGATTTATCACAGTATATGAAGAAAATGTACTTTTATAGAAACCTTGTGTCAAGGGAAGCATTTCAGTGGTGCTGTCTCATTCCACAACATGAATAGGAAACCCATCCTAATCACTAGGGTCACTAAACTCTCTGGAAACCGCACTGTGAGGTTAAATGAGCCCAGGCTTTGCCATCACTATCAGGATGCTGAGTTCTGGCTAATCTTACACTGACTCTGGAAGAATACGTGCTATTTGGGCAAGGAGGTGGGATACAGCACTATTTATCCTAGCAGTTCCTTTGGAATTCAAAGAAAAAATCAAAATTGGCACCTGTGTTATACAAAATGCATAGCTACTTAAGAAAACCTCATTTGGGGGGATGGGGGTAAAAACTTCTGTTTCCCCAGTTGCACTGTTTGAAAGTGAATGTGTGTACCAGAAGGTTGTTCAGGATTATGAAACTTCATGCATTTTATCACAAGCAAATATAAACATTTTCAAGGAAAGCACAAGGCAAGAGACATGAAAGACCATATGTTTCCAATGCTCTCCATGTCAAAACAATACCCGTCTCCAGAATATAACTGCTAGTCATATTGAATTATTTTGCCAGATATCTTCCAAAAGTTACTTGGAAGAGAGTACAGTGCACTCCATGTACCACGTAATGGATAAAAATAGATTTCCCCAGACCAAACTTATTACATTCATAAACTGTTTTATTGGCCATAATACTTTATAAGATTTCTCAGTTTTATTGCTCATGAGTTAGTAGTGAAGGTAAAGATGAGATAAGATAAAAGAGAGGCTTAATTTTCTGGAAAATGTTTCTCAACAAGCTGTATAAACTCCTTTTAGTTAAACTGATATTCTTAATATTCAAAACTAGGCAATTCCAAAGGATTTTTCCTCCAGTACAGTACTGGAGATTGAGCCCAGAGCCCTCTCACAGAGCTACATCCCCAGATCTCCAGCCCACTTTTATTTATTTTGAGACAAGGTCTTGTTATGTCACTAAGTTGTCCAGGCTGTCCACAAACTTGTGATCCTTCTACTTCATCACCCCAGAATGATAGGATTACAGGCATGCATCACCACATGAATGTCCCTTCTTGATGGGAAAGAAGGCAGAATTTCCAGGGGGCGAAGGCATCCCTGGCAGCTACTGAAATGTTTCTTGAGTCCCAAATATGAATTCAGCTAGCACTGAGCAGTTGGTCCTTTCTCCCAAGTGCCTGCAACTCCCCTGCTAGGCACCAGGAGACCTGTGCCACTCCATAGCCAAAACTGTTACTAGCCACTTAGGTTCATATACCCAGGTTTGTTTGCTCACCACTCGCCCAATCACAGCAGCCATTTATTTTGGTAAAAAGCAAAAAGGATGTATTCAAAGCCAGCTCCCGAGGAGACAGAGGGGCCTCCTTTGCCTCAAATCATCTCATTGTGTACAGATGTTAGGGTCTTTCATAGCAAGGACTACAGGGAACACAGGGAGGTAATGGGTGTACTGAGACTTGTTTCATCCTCTTAACACCAACTTCCTGGGGCCAGCACCTGTATATCATCCAGGCTGAAAGCGGAGGAGGTGGGCATGGCCCAGGAAGCCACTAGTTTCTAAAGGAAAAACAGTCTAAGTTTTAAAGCTGCGAGAGGAAGAGAATGAGACAGGAAGTGAGGGTGGGGGAGGGAGAGGGAGGGGG